TCATCGGTGCTTGCCGCTTCCGCACTTGCCGCTTCTTCTCTGCATGCATGAGGGCTTTCTCCCGCACTTCAGCAACTGCCTTCGTGATTAGATCGCGCCATGCAAGACGATCAACCGCCTTCGATTCCCATGATCTGCAATCAAGATTAGAACGTGTGAGGCTCACTTTAATCATGTCCTGGTAACGTAACTTTGGTTTCCCCACGTGCCGCTTCCCAATACTCAGCTGACCGTATAAAAGTTGTTTCGGTATCCGAGTCGAATCCATACGGCTCACATGACCGAGCCATCTCAGGTGTCGCAGTAAAGGTATGCAGTCCACTGCATACATCCCACTTCGGCGCAACACTTCCGTGTCTGCAACTCTGTCGCCCCAACCGATCCGCAAAATTCGTCGCAGACACTGCTGATGGAACCGCTCGAGATATCGCACATCCTGCCGGTACATCGTCCACGTTTCACTGCCGTATAGAAGAACGGACAGCACCATGGATTTGTACACCATCAGCTTCGTGCCAACGGTAAGCTGATGGTTGTTCCACACTCGGTACTCAAGTTTCCCGAATGCCGCTGCTGCCTTCGACACGCGAATACGCAACTCAACGTGTAGCTACTGATCAGTCGACATCACACTCCCAAGGTAGCAGAAGCGGGAGGTGGTTTCCAATGCTGATTTGCGGCAATATTGAAGATTGCACCTCCGGTGAAGGCTGAAAGAGACAGACAGTTTTGCTTGTGTTGATGGTGAGCCCGAATTTGGCCGCTGTCGAAGCCAGAGCACTAGTCATGTGCTGCAACTCATCCGCGCTGTGTGAAAACAACACACAGTCGTCAGCAAACAGCAACATACGGATAGTTGTCTCACAGACTAGAGTTCTCGCACCGAAACGACGGATGTTCAGCAACCCACCATCAATACGGTGCTCCACACGAACACCGTAAGCACAAGCCGCATCAAAAGCACAAGACAACATTGCATGAAGATATATATTAAACAGGGCAGGAGCTAAGACACAGCCTTGCTTCACACCAGAGACAACTGCAAAGTCATCCGGGGTCTCTCCACTCAGCTGCACCCTCGCTCGCATACCGCTGTGCAGACATTCATTTAAACTTACAAACTTACGCGGGCAACCAAACTTACCCAACACCAGCCACAATGCCTCGGGGTTCACCGTATCAAATGCCTTGATGAAATCAACAAAAAGCGAGTACAATGGCTGGTGTCGTTCTCTGCACTTCTCTTGCAACTGACGAGCCGCAAACACCATATCTATAGTGCTGCGACCCGAACGGAATCCACACTGCTCTTCCGCCACGTTAGGTTCCACAACCTGACTCACGAGGCGATTAAGCAGGATTCGGGCAATCACCTTGCCCACACAACTCAGCAAGTTGATGCCACGATAATTCGTGCAACATTGCTTGCTACCTTTGCCCTTGTACAGTGGTAGCACAAGGGCATCCTTCAGCTCAGGAGGCACCTCGTCCTCAATCCACACGCGTTGCACCAAGTGGTGCAGCGCAGTCAACAACGCGGATCCACCATGTTTCAGTACTTCAGGTGGGATCCCGTTACCTTCGGCACATTTGCCGTTTCGCAGCTGAGCAAGTGCTCTCTGCGTCTCATTCAGTGTCGGCGTATCCGCCAGATCCGCCTTCACATCGTGCTGCTTCAGGCCGTTCAGTGTAGGCCAGTCGATCTCTGAACGGTTGTTCAAGAGACAGTCAAAATGTTTCCGCCAGACCTGCATTATGTCTGCAGTCTGGGTGCAGGTAGCGCCTGAACTACCATCGATCAGTGTCCTCAGCGGCTCCAATCTCGGTCCATACACCGCCTTCAAGGAGTCAAAGAATTCCTTGTGTTGGCGGCGTTCGGCGTGGCATTCCATCTGCTTCGCCTTGTCCGTTCACCATGCATTTTTAATGCGACTGAGCTCTCGGGTCAGTCGCCGTCGAAGTTTGCGAAACTGACTACTCTTCCCCAAGTCACTGGGGTCTGCAACATGTGCAGCAAATGCTGCATTCTTCTCCGACACCAATGCGCCGATTGTCGCATTGTTGTCATCAAAAAAATCAGGCCGCTTACAGTTTGCGCGCCCGATGGTCTCCTCGGCAGCAGCTGTCACCTGGTCGCGAATGTGGTGCCACAGGTCGCCCACTGTGGCTATGCAGTCCACATCACCACACAGGCGTGCAGCCATCGCCTTCTCCAGCTCAGTACGTTTCGCCACAGTACCGAGGGAGAGAATGTTAAATTTACGCCGATTCACGGCGGGAGTGCAATACATAGATTTACGAAAATATATGTACAGTTTGGTCCGCACCAACTTGTGATCAGTGCCACACTCAGCTCCACGCATTACACGTGTCATGCGCACTTCACGCATATCACACTCACGTACGATGACATAGTCGAGCAGGTGAGCGTGACCAGTCCGCGGGTGCGTCCAAGTTGCTATATCACTCGCACTCAGTGCAAACCGAGTGTTCGTGATCGTCAAGCCGTGAGTGGCACACAGTGAGAGCAGCCTGTCACCGTTCACATTCGCTGAACCAATGCCATGCGCACCGATAACATCTGTCCACGCTGATGCATCACGCCCAACGCGCGCGTTGAAATCACCCAGCAGAAATAGTCGGTCGCTCCTCTGCACAGACCGTATCACGGAGGATAGCTCAGTGTAGAACTGATCACGCGTGTCATCAGGATAACACATGGTCGGACCGTACGTGCTTATAAAAGTAGCAAACTTACCTCTTCCGAGTCGCAGGCGAACAGTCATCAGTCGCGCGCTGATGCCCGTTGGTTCACCCACCAGCTGGCCATGGAGGCGATCGGATATTGCAAATCCGACCCCATGTTCACGTGGTGCTGAGGCGGCGTTGCCCACCCAGTAGAATGTGTAGCCAGCACCTGCTTCATGCAACTTACCTTGCTCAGCGAGCCGGGTTTCACTGAGCGCCGCAATATCGATGTTGTAGCGCGCCAGCTCCATCGCGACCAGTGCAGTGCGTCGCTCCGGGCGCTCGCTCGAGTTCCGGTCCAGTAGTGTGCGCACATTCCAGCACCCGATGCTGAGTGCTTTGCGCGCAGGCATACGATTGCATTGGTTGGCAATCGCACGCGAGGTGGTCGTTGTGCTTCGGAGGTTTGCTTGAGGGACTCCACCCGGAGCCTTTGGCTCAATAGCCTGACCCACAAGGCAGTGGAGAGCAGATCCAGCTCGGGAATGTGATTGCAGAGACAGATTGGGATCTGCTTGACGGCCGTCACACGCAGCCTTTGAGGTTCTGGAACAATTATCATATGTTTTGCGACCGTAATTGGATACGCACCTGCGACCACGGCCAGACGCAGGTGGGTTTTTGGCGGGTTTGCACCAATTTGACCAGGGGCTGCCTGGCTTGAGGCGGGCAGTAGAAAACCCGTTGAAAACCCGGAGGTGTCCTCCCACCGTCAGAGACAATGCGTGGCACTCGTGCTCTACGCCAATCGAGCATTGAGAATATAACCCGTAAACCTGTTGTCTCCCATGGCTAGGTTTTACGGGAAGTGGGCCATCGACCACTTCCTAACCTCCGGAGAGGATGGACTAGGATACTGCCAGGGCGCCCAATCCTGACAGGAGAACGACTCGGGTCCTCAGCCAAAGCCTTCGATTAAATGAACACCCGAAAGGCAGCGGGTCTAGCACATGGTCAGTTAGCTGACTCATGCGGATTGGTGTCCTGGATCTTAGCAGGGAGAATGGCGAAACCTAACTCCCACCCAGCGGTCGCCACGTGGAGGCGCCCAGGACATGAGACTATGGCGCAACAGTAGCAGCAGTGGGTAGACCATCTGTCAGGATCTAGCCACCACCAGCCTCAGCGCACCATAGGCCTATATATATAATGTGCCCCATGCTGAGGCTGATGTTGCATTCTTGATGCTTCTTCACCGCAGTTGGGCTAAACCAACTTACACTTAAACTAGGTCTTTTTAAGCTGGATACATTCATTCCACGTTATTTGGTTTGTTCTGCCTACCTGAGTAGTGTTCTATTAACTGGGCACGTTGCTTACGCTAATTGCGCTTCTCTTCTGTAATTTTGTTGCGTTTGTAGCATTTTTAAGTAACTTGTGGACATTTCTTACTTATCACGGATTCGTTGCTAACCAACTTACTTCAAATGGTAATTTACCGCAGAGTTATGCCACCGTATCTATATGCATTATTGGATTTATTTTATTTCAGCTTGTCGTTTAAAGTGAATGGCTGTTGCTTGGTATCCCCGGTGTGGCTGCACTTGATGTGTATGTTGACAAGGTGCCTACCTGTCTATTACCCACTACCTCGTTCATACTGGCTCCCGGAAACAGTTGGTCGTTGCTGGAGGGGACGGGGTGCACGGTCCTTGTGGCCGTGCTAGGCTCAAAGAGCGGTTCCATGCACTCAGTGTGGAGCGGACTACGGTCCAACCACTGCCTTGTGTGCGCTTGATTCCCCAAATACAGCGTGCTTGTGTTTGCCTGTGAAGGAGTGTGGGCCGGCTCCGTTGATAAAAGGTGGCTCCCATCCACATGCCTCGGTCTTATTCCTTCGGGTTTACGCTGCATATGGGGTGTGTGGTTGGAGTTGTGGGTGGTGCAGCGCAAGCCACCCATGGTCCCTCTGTAGGCGCAGGCGTCCTGTGTCTGGCCACAGTGACAGGGAAATCCAGAACCGGATGCCTTTAACCATATATATATATATATATATATATATATATATATATATATATAATGATACAAACTGCTGCTTTGACGCGTTTTCTAAAGGACATCAAGGACGCCCATGCCGGGGGACTATACGACCAAGTCAATTCATTGTTTTCGAGTTGTTGTGATTGGTTGTTTATTCTTTCCCTGAAAGAGTACAAAGTGTTAAAAAAATAACACTTAATCTATTACAAAACGTATGAGATGCCCTTGCATTGTGACTCTGCGACTTCATATCGCTTCTGTTCGCATTTCTTTTAAAGTGCCTCCTTTCTCATACATACATACACAGGTGAATTACTTTCTGAGGAAACTGTCCAATTTTCCTGTTGCTTGAATTGGTATTTCAGATTGAAGATCTCACGAACTTTCTCCGATACAAAAATCTGATTTGCCAATGGTTTCCACATCAGACTGTATGCTACATCAACCGGCTCACCCCAGAGTTCGTACGCCAGGCGTGACTTCCCAGCAAGCCCACCAGTAACTGTTCCAATATGGTATCCTATGGTAATTTCGAAACCGGCTTTCTGGTATGGGAAACACTCCTCATTGAATCTTTCAGTCTGACGGATTAACACAAAGCAAAACTCCATTAGGGACACCGGATGCGATTCGGTGAAGGTGTCTGACCACAGTCCGGACACAAATTGGCAATAATTTCCAAAACATTTTAGCGCATATACTTGCTCGAACGTATCGGAAGAGAGCAATTGGTAAAACGTGGCAAACAATTTTTGCATCAACTCAACTTGGCTAACAAGCACATCGTCGTCACTGACATCCGAATGGTAGAAACTGCTCACGTGAACACACGCCACAGCAACTTGAGATGTCTCTTTCCAACACTGAGACAGCTCTATCTGAGTTTTCCCCATACATAACTCTGTCACAATTTGATTCCACATCTCCGTTGGAATGATATTGTGTGCAAACGTTTTGGTGATGTTGCATGCTTTATTTGTCAATTCCTCTTTCGTGTGCTTTTTCATTCGCTCATAGAATACCATACGATAGGTGTAATCGTGATCACGTACAGTAATCCAGATTACCACAATAACGATCCCCATTTGTACGAGAAACAGGCCGTAGTGCTCAGTTTGTCCACACGTCGGGTCTGTGCACTGACACTCCACTGTGTGTGTCACGTATTGTAAGCATGTGACAATGAGGACAGAGACAAAAGTTGCCAACAGACGTGCAACATAACGTGACCCCGTACCAAGCACATGGGTTATACACACCACTATGCTCAGTGTGTCTAGCAGATTCCGCGAAATTTCGGAGTTTGTGGGATACGGCACGAAACCGAAGACCACTATGATTAGGTGTAGAGTCGGCATCAGACAAAAGAAGGCGAAGACAAACTCACAGAACAGGCTGTTTGTGCACAATCTGTGCGCTAACCTGACCCACCTGTTCCCGTGCTCTTCATTCTCCGGAAGTGGGTTTGTCATTATCCAGACAAATACGGCACTCACACCCAAGTATACACTCGTCTCGGAAGCACAAAACACCGCGAAACCAACACCATTGGGCAGCCGGAAGTACACTATGCTGTAGGTTGTTACAATGACGAGGATGTTGTGCAATAAGACGCAGAGTACATCTGTTCCTAGAGCTATGATTTGTGATTCCGTCATCAATTCGGAAGCGAATTCTCCTTTTGCTTGATGTCTGTACTGATGTTCAACAGTTGCATCCGTGAATTTCATCGTCCAGTAGTTGATAGGCAACTGACCAAATGTGTCACCTAGTTCCTCTGGTGCATGCTGAAAGTTCCCAACGAAATATTGCAACGAAAACTTCAGTCCATTATGTCTCCGCATCCACTCGTCTGTTTCAACTTGTTGCGGGCTATGACGAAATAGCGTAGGATGTAGCAATCGATAGTGTCCCACCAAATCTTTCGCACATGTCGAGACTCCAGTCGCACATGTGGCAATAATTCGTGTTATTTTTGTATCTAAATGATGGACCTGTTTGCGACACATCTCTTGAAATTCGGCTTTTGTGGAAACCCACGGTATGGCATCCCCAGAGCGTGGATCGACGACATATGTCGCACGCTCATCTCGATCCAAACGCCCGAATCTTGACATCCCGATTGTTGGGCCTCTAGCAAAACGGAATCTCTCGCTTATCAGACTGTACGTCTCACCGGACACACAAATTCTGCCATCCATGCAGTTTTCTAAAATCTCTTTCATAAAATTTAGTTCATGTGTGTAAATCTCAAACAAAGGTGTGTGTTTTCGCTGAAGTGTATAAATGACTGTCGTGGTATGAACCGCGACACGTAAACGTATTGGCCTCCGCCACTCGTGTCCCAGATATTTGATCCCATGACAGGCCATGAGACCGAAATTAACACAGCGTACCGCGTGATCCGGAACCTCATGTGGGCACCCAGCGACGGAGACGTAGCAGCTTCCCAAGGTGCACACCTTCTCACATCCAGATTGGAGGCAGCATTGATCCAACACTGATACTACACTGTGGAGTAGTTTGCTTTTTTCTTCCAAACTGTGTTCACCCAATATGGAATCCAAACCTATCAGCTGCCCGAACCAGACGCTGGCATGGTCACATCTCCTTGCTCGAACTGGTCCAACTGACGCTGGGGTTATGGCAACGGGCTCATCACCGTCAGTGACGGGAGCAAGGCTGCTACCTGTGGGTGCGGTTAGGCTTAGCAGACTACGGGGCACCATGTGCTTCCAGATACCATGCCGAGTTATGATTTGTCGCTTTATCCACAGAGAGTAGTGAACTCGCTCAGCTAGATAGAGCAGTATCAACCGGTGTCTTGCTGTGCGCCACAAAGTGAGGTACAATCCGTCCAATATTACTGTGAACCACAAGGTGATCGTAAGCCAATCCGTTTGGCCTGATTGATCCAAACCAGTTTCCAAAATTAGTTGTGTCTGGCCCTCCACGATACTTGTGGGCATTGATCGGAAAATAGCAAAGAAAGACGCGTACAAAATTAGAACGACAAGATTAATATCCACCGGTAGAGGTAGAATCAAGGAGATGGAAATTAACTGCATGCTTCCGATCAAAAAAGCATCATCCGGCAAGATGGTTCCGTTAGCAAATAGTAGGACGCAAACGATGACATTGACAACCAATGCTATCACTGCCAAATTGTTACACTGGGAAGGTTTTCTCAATCGAAATGTGTACACATATACTGCAAAGAGGGCAAAGGAAACCAACAGGCTGTATAAAATTACTAACTCCGAAAGTTTCCGGGAACATACGGACGCATCTAAAACACCAGCCAGGAGATGAGCAAGGGTTATCTTGAGCCCTGAACGAAGCCGTCGAAGAGTACTGCGAAATGTTAACCGGTCGAAATAGACATCAGCCAAAGAAAACCAGTCTGTGGTAAATTTGTAAAAAAACACGACTGCATGCGTAGCCTTTCGCCACCAGGGCACCTCCTCACTATGCAAGATTTCATGCAACTTGCTGAGATGTTTGTAAACCAATGGATAGACATTTTGTTCGAACTCGTCACTTTGCATTTCAGGTCCGCTTACGGTCAGATGAATACACGGTTTGGTCAAATGTATCGACCGCTGTCTATCGACCTCTCCGACCTACTTAAATTGGTGGCAAAGTAGGAATCTGCACCATTTCCACAGTTTGAGTGAACGGACGAAGTGAGATGCTGAATGTGTTTTTCAGCTTGAGAATTGGGGACTCGTTTGACTTATCACAGGCATTTCCTAGGGAGTTGGTATTATACAACGCTTATTTAAACACTCCACTGGCCGGCTTGCCGAACAACCTCCTCGTGGTGCCAGCTGGGTGGTTCGGTGTTTTCCCGTTCCAGCAAATGGTTCAACTGCTGTGTTCCAGGACGTGGTGGGTTTTCACCTGACAAGCGTTCTCCCTATAAAAAGCCACATATGTCCGTTTAACAACACTGCGATTCAACAACACGTGACTCGCCACTAAATAAAGTCACTGTCACTTGCTTCATGCTGGCGAAGCATTGTATTCCAGCAAGTTGATGCTGTAATTTCGGGGAGCATTGGGCCCCTGTTTGGAAAAGGAACAAACGAAAGGCGTATGAACTGATCAATCAGTCACCGGCTCCCAATGGGCGCGATTCCCTGAATTCGCTCCGCTGCCTTGCGGGCAGGTTATTCAGCCAAAGACTCGGGGTGGTGTCCCCTAAGTCAACACTCTATTTCGGCTTGGGCAACCGGGTACTAACTCGCCCTCTGACGAAACCGTGGACTTTGATGTGTTGTGTTTTTCTGCAACTTCTGTACCTTCTTTTGAATCCCATGGCTTCTGATGGCCCTATGTCTATTCATAGACTGTTGCAAATATATATAATCAATGCGCTTTGTAACAGTGACTTACAACAAATTGAAAAAACGGGTTCCACCCTTATTATCACATATATACCAGTGGATAGACGGAGAAATGTTCTTATTTGCGATCATGAATGTGGAGCTAAATTGGACGGCTATTTTCTAAAGGATGTGCGGGACATTTTCTGCATTATCGTGACAGCCGCATGTTAGCTTGCAGAGGTTACAAACTCGGCTGTTGGAGGTAGACAGAGATGTTAAGTTCAAAGGGTCTTGCGAGGCCTATCTTGATTGAGTTTAAAAACCCGTTTTCCCATAACCTACCAAGGATTGATTTTAAATGGTACCGTATACACTTACTTCAGGTGGGAAACTTGTTTAAATAATCCCCTAAACTGATGTTTTCACGCAGTACACCGTGCCAGAGAAACAACCGATGAGTCCATAACTTGAATGTGGGTGCAAAGAAACTTCAACCGCCGGATGCGGTGATCTCCGCCATAACGCTATTTGTTTAGAGTGGAGAAGTGGCATCGTGGGTTTTACTGACGGAACCAAAGTAACAACAGCAGAGTCGGGGATCTTGGCATTCGTAACACTTCACGCGCCCTATGCATCCCCAAATCAGAGTAACCTTTGCCAACCTCCGACATCTCTGGCGCCGGCGGGATCTCAGTCTTTTATCATAAGGTCGAATCGACAAGCAACATAGCCTTATTCCTCCGTCTTGAATCGGAGCCTAGTGTGAAATACTGGGGGTTTGCTCTGTGTCACGCTTCCTTCTAATTAAGTGATTGCGGTGTTCCTCATTTGTACAATCGTTACCACCAGTCTTTCGTGCTTCTGAGATAGTTCACGTACACACTCTTTGTTACTGAGGTGACCAAACGTACATCACAGACCCACAGAGAATCTGGTCAACTTTTGTATATCTTTACCTCTTTTACTGTAAGCTAAGAACATTTAACATGAAACACCAAAACAACTGCAACAATACATTCATGTTCGTACATTTTTCTTGTATGAAGGAAAGTTGCACACTCGTTTTATACCCATGAGCATAGAAGTTGCTTTTGTTTGATTGTTACATGCCACTGCGTCGATCGATGCCTTTTGGTCATTGGCTGGGTGCTTGTGGTTGCTTGTCTTTCACCTTCGTTCCGAATTGCCTGGGTTTGCAAGGTCCACAACTTCGATGCTTCCAGTGCTCGCGGGGCAGGATTAAGCAGCTTGATCGTTCGCTGATAATCACTCTGAGGTGTTAAGAAAGCGACCGAGCTGTCGGAATATAAGGTGTCCGATAACTACTTACGTTAGGGATCGATCGTTGTGGCTGATGACTCGTCTTATAGACTTCGGAGTTGTCTTTGAGATCACAAGTGTTGCTGTGCTGTTCGAGATTCGGAAACTTCCTCGCTTACGTTCCTGCCGGAAAGAGGAGAAGACTGTGATGTGACAATACAATGCGCTGCACCAAAGCTAGGTCCGAAAGATGGAATGCACAAAATAGCGGTGATGTAGCTCTATGGAATGATGTTAGCACACATGTATGTGTTGCGAAATGGGACAACAAATCCGATTTGACTACGATGCCGGAAATCATTTGCCCGCATGGCTTTAGACTTTACGAACAGGCAATGGACGTTTCAATGAATTTCACAGAGCCAAGCAGTGAGAGAATAACTTATCCCATGATGAGTTGGAGGAGCCTGTTGCCGGTTTATCGATCCGAGCAGTTATTTAGCGTAGGGTTTTAAAAAGTTTCAATATGTGGGTTATCGTTTAGGGTGCTACTCCCGAGTGAAAAGATAAAACCAATTTTTTTAAGGGTATAGGAAAAATTACAGCAGGGAGCCTTGAGTATGGCACACTAACCGCTTTATCAGAACTAATATGTAGGATAAGTTGAAGGTATGTTTTAGGTTGTGGTTGCGGTTACTTACACCTGTCTTTCTCATCGTGAACCAATCAGTGGCCCGCTGACTAACTTTGTTGGCAAGTAGACACGTTCGTCAAATTGGCGGTGAATTGCTTTCGCCATTTAAATCCTCCTTCAAGTCTTTAAGGGTTCCCTTCTCAACTAGTATACTAAACATTCAGGCCGTTTCGAACTTTATGGGGTGGAAGGCCAGTTAAAGATTGTTATCTATGGTACAACAATTTTGTTAAATGTGGGCGAAGGATAAGGAGCTTAGCAAATTGCTTAGACAAGGTGCGGCGGACGGGTCGCGCATTATGTATACCGATAGCGCAACTTTTCCACACGCTTAATGGTAGCATGCGCTTGACTTTGCAGTCATTCTAGTGATAAAACCCACACGAATCATTATAGGACAACACATTTGCTCAGCAAGTCAAGTTTCGGACCACAAAACCTATTCGGGGTTCTACCTCATGTCTGGACATCATGGTAACTATGTTGGATCATTTGACGGAGCTGCAGGCTAAAACTCTCATAGCTAAGAATGGTTTCTGTGTCATTGCCCTCTCGCTTAACTCCCAAGGAACCTTTCGGCAAAATTTTAACTCATACGCAAAAGTGGACGACATTAGAACAACGGTGGAATTTGATTGAAATGCATTTGTCCGAATTCTGGACCACTTTGTTCCAGCCGTATAGGATACATATCAGTAGACTCAGTTGATTGCGGCGGAGGATCGGTCGAGCTACCGAAATCCACAATGGCTTTTATGAAGGATTCTGAATTCCGGGATATTTGAAGGTTCGCTACATGCTGAAGTTCAGCAATCAGGAGTCCAATTACATACTTTTATGAAACTAGGTTAGCCCGAGATGTAAAACAAAGTCCGGAGAGGCATTACAGTTTCTTTCAACTGAAAATTACTTTTGGGAATGTACGATAAAACACTGGTGTAATACGGATAAAAGCTTGACAAGTCCCATGGGATATTTTGTGGGAATAATGTTAATTCAGTGCAATTTCACAAAACAAAAAAGGAATTATTGGACTCACCATATTATCCACATTAACACAAAGGTATATCAGTCTACCCCGATTTTGTGAGGTTGGTGAACACAATGTTTGTCTGCGTCTTGTCGTCACTCAATGAATATAAACCAAATGAAGTAATATAGGTGGCGTGAAGCATTGTCGAGTCGTTTTTTTCAAAATGGGTAACTTGGACGCTGAAATAACAAAAATTGCAAGAGCATTCCACGGTTGAAAAACTCGAAGGGAAATATAATTCCGGCGGCACTCAAGCCGATTGCATAGGGTGGCAAATTGCAATTTATGTCCCCTCAATTCTGTGCTGCAGCTAAGCTTCTGGAGGCGGCGACGAGCGTGACCGGGGTTTTTCAAAATCTGGAACCCCAGGATGAGGTCACCTTGTAGACTGCGATATCTTCCGCTGTACGCTCCCAGGGCTTTCAGTCGCCCATGTTATTGCAGGTGGAACAACCCCTCCACATTTTTCTTTGCCCGTCGCTGTGCGGTTTCCAGTGTGACCAGGTCGCTTTTAATCAGGGTTGCCAAGTCTGGATAGCGTATTCTGCATGGAGCTTCACATGTACACCGAACAATCGGGGGAAGATGGAGGGATCGAACGTCCCGAACGCCCTCTGTAACAGATCTACGTGTAGGTTCGCGGCTATGGACGCCTTCAAGGACTGCGCCGAACAGCCGAGGTCGTCTTGGATCACTACCCCAAGGTCTCGCTCTTGTGAGGCGCTTTTCAGAATGTCGTCTCCAAGCTTAAATACGCACGTGGACTTGTGGAAACATGCACGGTTTTGCACTTGTCCGTGTTAAACAAAAGTAGATTTATCTTTGACTATTCGAAGGAGGAGTCTAAGTCTCGTTGCATCATATCGTGATCTTCCTGACAGCCGTTTGTCCGCCATATCTTGATGTCATCGACAAAAAACAGGAACTTTTGCCGGATGACACTCGCAAGGTTCTTAATGCAGAACAAGAATAAACGCGGACCTAACACCGATCATTGTGGAACACGCTGTCCGCATTAATTGGATCGGAAAATGAACCTCGAACTCCAGCATGAAGGCGCCTCTGAAGGATGAAGTTTCCGACCCACCTCAGGACAGGGTTTCAAACTCCATGTGCTTGCAGCTTTTTGAGAGGGATGTGATTTATGCGGTGCAATGGTTTGGAAAAGTCTAGGCGGATGACATCAGTGCCTGGCCCACTGTCTGCCATCTCGGCCCAACTGTCACGGGC